AAGGGCCGGTCCAGCGCCGGGGGGCCCGGGAGGGGCTGCCGTGCGCGGCCTGCGCCGCTCTGAGACTCCTCCGCTGCTCTCACCGATGCGGGGCCGGGCTCGCGGGGCCCCGGGTCGGCGGGCATCGCGCCTCGTTCCTGCGCGCTCATCGGAGGCAGCTGTCCCTGCGCCCCGGGCTCGCCCGGCGCCTGATCGCTGGACCAACCCCGGGAAACGCCAGCAGCCCCGGGGTGCAGGACACGGCGCTTGGATGGGACTTTCCCCCGCGCCTGATCCGCTTGCTCGGAGGGTCAGGGTTAATGCTTGACTCTCGTGCGAGGTGCTCAGTGTTCACACCCAGGTGGTTAAGTCCTTTGCCCCAGCCAACCCTCGGTTCCCTTGCCTGTGATGTCCAGCAGGAAGCCAGGGCACTAAGGAAACATTCTTTCTTTTCTTTTTGCTTAGAGAGAAAAAAAGTTTCAAGTGTTTGCTCTGCTTTTCCACCGTGGGAGATACAAATAATCAGGCTAGCTGACACATGGCAAAGACACTCTATCCTAAACTCTTAACTGTTTCTAGGTCCTTGTACAGTTGCCATTTAATGACTCAGCGGTTGTGCTTTTATATAGAAAACCTGTCAAGTGGCCCATCTTTCTCCCCCGGAGCAGTTGGGGGATGCGAGCGAACCCTGGACCTTTGGTTTGGCAGTGCCACTCCTTACCACTAAGCCACCTGAGCTCCCTTAGTGCTTACCTAGGTGAACATTAATTCTTTTTTGCTGTTGTCATCATGGGAAGAGACTGTAGTTGCGGTCATAGGACCAGAGCGGTGGAGAGAAGAGTATGGATGCATCAGTTCCTAATCAGTGTTTACAATAAAATAACATGTTGCCAAGATAACATTTTATTTTGAGGGTGAGGCTTTATAGAAAGGTGCAATTATTTGAGAATGCAAAGTGTTGCAACTGGAGTGAGTTGCCCGGGAGTTCTGGCTTGCTGTGGATTGACAGCCTTGAGGAATTAACCCTGTTTAGGCAACTTCATGCTCTGTTTAACAAATACAGAGATGATGACCGACGATTATAACATTTGTAGAATAAGAATTTTGGAAAGTGTGATTCATTTAGGAAGTTAGGTCACTCGGTGAGTCATTGATACGGATTTGAAACTGAAAGAGGAGAAAATGAAAAGTTAGTTACTGCCTGTTTAATCAGATGCCTTCTTCACATTTTATAAGACAAGTTCCACATGTCAACTTGGCAGCTTCTTGGTTTGGAGGGAAGGAGAGTATTGGTTCCAGGATGTCCAGGGATGCCAAAATCCAGCAATACTCAAGCCCCTTAAAGAGAGTGGACTAGTATTTACACGTAACCTGTGTACATCCTTCTGTATACTTTAAATCATCTCTACAGCAAGACCCCACTGGCCGTTGAGTGGGCTCTGAGTTATAGTGATGATACAGTGTCAAATATAGAGTCAAAATTGGGATTTTCAAGGCTGCACTGGTGGGCTAGTGGCAAGAAGCTGCGCTGCAATCTCAGAGGTATGAGGCTCAAATCCACCAGCTGCTCCGTGGGAGAAGGGTGGTTAATCTCTTCCAATGTGATTAACTGCCTCTGAAAACTCTTCTAGAGGATCAGCTATGGGTCGGTTCCAACTCAGGTACACAGCACAACAACAAATCAGTATAGTGCACACACAATACTCCATCTTCCTCCGGTAAATCATCACTCTATCTAATACAATGTCAATGTCGTATATATGCTCCTTAACCTTTCAGGGGTCGCTTTAACCATTTCATCCTTCTTAGCTTTGGAGATGATGCTTTTTTCATTTGCTGAATATTTTTATCTGCAGTTGGTTGACTTTACTAATACAGATGACTGGCTGTGTATCCCTTTGTTAGATTTCTTGGGGAATATTTAAAAAGGATTCTGGTGGTTTAGCACTAAGGAGCTGTGCTGCTATCCCAAAGGTGCATGGTTTGAATCCATCAGCTGCCCTACAAGAGAAAGAAAGATTGGTGATCTCCTCCTGTGCCTTTTACTGCCTCTGAAAACCCACTAGATGGGCAGCGATGAATCTGTTCAGACTCTAAGGTACATAACATCAGTCAAAAGGTAAATACAGAACTTATGAAGACTGGATTTAGAATAGTATTTTAGTTCTAAGTGGATTCTTGTGATTTTGCCTTCCTCCTGCCCAGATATGTAGAAACAAGAGAAATGTCAGTAATAGGAGTACAATACAATAATCATTAACACACAGAAAAGTTCACTAAAAGACTCTGCTTTCTACAGTGTCTTTTGGTTGGAAAGCTTCACTGATGTTGTGAATCCATTCTTACAAATATGGTGTGAAACAACCACACCGAGTTCATGCTGAAGTTCTGTAGTGTGGTCCAGGTGAAGAATATTGAAATCTTCTGCGGACTCCCTAAAGAACAGATATGTCTTAGAAGTGAAAACTGGCAAGACTCTGTCTCACATCCTTGGGCAGGTTAATAAGGAGGAGGTTAGTCCTTGGAGAGAGACATCTTGCTTTGAGGAAGGTCAACAAACAAGAGGGAGACTACTTCCGACAAGATAGGTTGACACAGTGACTACCAAGAGTGTAAACACACCCGGGATTGTGAGGCTGGTGCAGGACTGGCAGGGAGTCACTCTCTTTTACACACCGTGGATCGGAGTGGTAGCCAACTTGACAGGACCTAACAACAGTTGTGGAATGTGTATGCCAAAGCTGTGATTGGTTGGTGGGTATTTTAAGCTAGAAATAACTTTTAATTGCTGCAATGTAATTCAATCTTACTTGGTTTTTGAAATGTTAAATCACTTTGGATTACAGGTGTTTGAAAATGTCCATAGCCTTGTTTCTTTTCTTTCTTGTTGAAATTCAGCTTTTATTTGACTTTGATTTTCGTTTCCAAAGAACTTAACGTTCTTAGTACTTGAGTTACTAATAGTATCGGTTATTATGGCAGTTTACCCCACTGATCCTGCTTACTTACCAAATTGTTTTAATTCTTTAACTCTGGCATCTCATTTGCTTTGCATTTCCATTAGCTGTTCTTATTGGGAGTGTGCCCTAATGTTGCTTTTGATTTTTGTCCAAGTTATAGTGACTTCAGAGTTTCAGTTCCCAGTGAACAGAGATCCCATTTTGGAAAATCCCTGTGGGAACTTTCCTGACAGTCTTGATAGGTAAATGTAAAAGAGAAACCTTAGGTCAGGATACAGGCATCTCAAATGAAGGCCAGTGCGGTTTGGGGAATGTGTTTGACACAGCAGGATCTCTATCTTTTTTAAAAAAGAAACAAACCTTACCTAGAGATGACATTAATGAAAGAAGAAGGTATTTCTTGCAGAACTCTTTGTGAATTGTTTAGCCGGCCTCATGCACTGCTCATAGGATTGCAGTGAGTTGTGGTCAGCTTGATTGTACCTAACAGCAGTGTGAAAAGGAACAGAATTGGGGGGGGGGAACCCTCAAAAAACACTGGAAAAGCAACTTCTCTTGCAGCATCCTGGAAGTGTTGATGGAAGATCATTTGATCATTTAAGAGACAATAAAATTCTTCAGTCCTCACCCTAGGACAGAGATGATTCAGGCCATGGTCTTTTGTCACTTCCTGTGCATCTGAGAGCTGGACAGTGAATAAGGATGACAGAGAATTAATGCTTTGATATGCATTATTGGAGAAAAGCACAAGTATCTCATAGACTACCAAAAGAACACACATAGATGTCTTGGAGAAGATGCAGCCAGAGTGCTTCCTGGAGGCAAAGGTGATAAGCTTTATCTGTCATGCTTTGGGCATGTTGCTGTTGTTGTTGTTGTTGTTATGTGCCAGTTGAGTCCTTTGCGACTCATAACGACCCTATGTACAACAGCCCTAAACCGTGCTCTATCCTCTGCCAATCTCATTGCCTCTGACACACCCATCCCGATTACCCCAGTCACTGAATCAATCCACCTCATAGAGGGTCTTCCCCTCCTGCACTGTCCCTCCACCCTCCCAAGCATGATGTCCCTCTCTAAAGACCTGTCTCTCCTTACAACATGTCCAAAGTATGTCAGACAAAGCCCCAGAATCCTTGCCTCCAAGGAGCAGCCTGGTTTAACCCTCTCTACCATGAATCTGTTTGTTTTCTTGGCAGTCCATGACTAGGAGAGGCTATTCTCTGGGAAGAGACATCATGCTTTGAAAGGTGGAGAGTCGACGAAAGAAAGACTCCCAGATAGATTGACACAGTGACTGCAGCAGTGGGCTCCAACAAGTCAGAGATGGTGAGGTGTGAAGATGGCAGAGGACAGGACAGAATTCAGATCTCTTGTTCTGAGGGTCCCTACGAATTGTCCTTGACTCGATGACACCTAACAATACCACTGCTATAGGACACTATGCATGCTTATAGCCTTTTCCTTGTAAATATTGTTTTCTTTCTGGAGCGTTTGGATGGAAAGATAGTCGCTAGTACTGAGAAGTTGCACTGTAACCCTAAAGGTACACAGTTTGAATCTGCCAGCTGCTGAAAACCCGATAAAGGATGAGCTGTGAGTAAACAACAACAACAACAACAACAATAACAGCATGTCCAGTTAGCAGATTAAGAGTAGACTTTATGATTATCCTTCAAAACCCATTTTTTAAGGCTTAAGAAAAATTGAGCAACTCTTCCCCTGTGTGTAAATAAATGGTTTTGCCTTTTTCTCAGTCTTCTTTGCTGAGCTACTTGAAAGGATACATCTGGAAGTAGTTTTGTGGTTATATTGCTCATTGTACTTTAATTTTTAAAAACTCTTTGGCCTGAAATAATTAGGCCAGATATAAGGGGACTCAAACATTGTATAAAAACTGGGTTTATCATGCTGTACATTTCATTTGTTCTCTTATTTTTTTATTTTGATGGTTGAGGAGAGAGCATTTTACGTATTTGAGGAAACACAGATTTGCTCCACGCATAGCTTTGTGTCTGGGTCTAATGGCAGAGTTGTTGTTGTGTACCATTGAGTCAGAACCGACCCATAGCTGACTCTCTAGATAGCCCATCCTTCTCTTGCAGAGCAACTGGCTGTCTCAAACCACGTGCCTTTAGGATTGCAGTTCAGCTTCTTGCCACTAGACCACCAGTAGTGGCAGAGTGGACAATAAATTATAGTAGCAATGATTAGTAAGAGGGGGAAATGTCAGATAGAGAAGAGACAGTGTGTACTGTCTGGGACAGCTTTTTAAAAATCTTTTGAGTGAAACTTTACAAATTATATTGCAGTTTCATTCAGTCATAGACATTTTGTTTTATAATGTTAA